GAATTGACTAGCCATGAAACCAGGTCCTTCAGTAGGTGAATGATAAATAAATTGGGACATTCAGGTAGTGGAATATTACTCAGTGCTGAGAGCAATGAGCTGTCCAGCCATGAAAGGACTTCAGGAAGACTATTAAATTCAAATTAACATGTAGAAGAAGCCAACATGGAAAAGCTTCTTAATTACTGAATAACTCCAGGGTTGGAGGGTGCTTCAATGGTGCTTAGCCTATGTGAGGCTCTGGGCTTAATCCCCAGCACCAAAAAAAAAAAAAAAAAATTAAAACAAAAATAAACAATTAATGTATAATTCCAACTATGTGACATTCCAATAAAAGCAAAACAAAGGAGGTACCTTAAAAGCCACGGCTGGGTTGTGGCTCAAGTGGGAGAGCATGTGCCTAGCATGCTTGAGGCCCTGGGTTTAATCCCTAGTACTACAAAAGAAAAGAGAAAATAACTGTATTTGTCAGGGATGAGGGAAAGGCAGTGAAACTGCACTGCCTGATGTTATAATGGTGGACACAGGGCAGGGGGCATATACATTTTTCTTTGTTTTGGAGTCACTGGGTAAGCCAATCCACCAGTATTTTCCAGACAAGGGTCTTTGGAACAATTTACCTGGGCTGGCCTCCAATCTCAACCCTCCTAATCTCTGCCTCCTGAGTAGTTATGATTACAGGTGTGAGCCACCAGTGCAGTGCATTTGTCAAAAACCATAGAATACACAACTCCGGGAGTGAACCCAAATGTAAACCAATGTAACAAAGATTGTCTGTGTGGTTCAGTGACATCACATCACTCCTCTATGGTGTGGGATGTTGATGGGGGCAGGACATACATGAGTGTTCTCTGTACTTTCCACTTGATTTTGCTGTGCTCCTTAAACTGCTCTAAAAACAAAACCCATTAAAAGTATCCAGAACAGTAAATCTTCCTATGCATATTTCACCAAATGTTAGGAAAAGCAGCTTCATTCATAATACTGTCAAGCTAGAAGCAGTATAACTGTATGTGGATGGACCGTGAAAAGCTCACCCTAGGGAATGCAGCACAGTCTGGAAAAAGCATGAGTGGCTACACACAAGAATGAGGCTGGGGTGGGAGTGTAGCTCAGTGGTAGAGCACTTGCTAGCATACATGAGGCCCCGGTTTATATTCCCAGCAGCACAAAAAATAAAAAAGAATGTGTATGAGCCTCAGGAACAGAGGGCTGAGTGCCATCAGTACACAAAACAGTAATACTACATGACATCATTTATATCAAGGAGTCCTGGTAATGGTCACCCTTGGGAAGTGAGCAGTGACTTTGAGGAAACATGAGGATGCTGGAATGTTCTGTGTTGGACTGGATGTTGGTATCATGGTATGCACTTTGAAAATTCACTAGATCGTACACTTAAGATTTGTACTTTTTTTTGTATGTGTGATTGATGCCTATTAAATATTGTGTACACACAGATACACAAATATATGTACCTGTGTGCATTTGTACCTGCACACACATGCCTAATACACACACCACTCTGGAGTCAGATGTTCTCATTCTTGTTCTGCCATGCACTAGGTTTTTTAACTCTAGACAGGCCATTGGGCCTCACTGAGCCTCAGTTTCCCCATCTGTTAAAATGGGGTTAACAGTACCTCCAGCAGTCAATGGAGACACATGTCAGTGCTGTGGACAGACTTGGTGCTTACTATATTCTTGCTGCTGGTCCCTTTGGTGACTGAGCCCAGGCTGAGGCAGGGTGAGGGGTGGGGATAGTCTGCAAGGAGGGGCTCTTGCAAACCAGTGCAAAGGGAGAGATGCAGTCAGGTGAAGCTGGGTGGTAGGGGCTACCTGTGCCAGGCTGTGTGGTGCCTGGTGCCTGGCTGCGGCTGGCCGCCCTGGAGAGAAGGGTAGTTAGGGAGTTAATGAAGTTTGAGCCAGGGAAAGAGATCCTTTCCTGGACAGCAGGGCCTTTCCCTATCGCTGGGCAATCAAGATATCTGTAAAACTTTAAACACCTTGACCAGGCAGCTCTGGGGTGGGGAGCTGGGTCCTTGAGGCAGAAGCATACCCCTCACAGTCACTCCTCTTTGGGGAAGCCCAGTACCTTCAGGATCCCTGTGTTCCAGCAACTTCACATCTGAGAGAGGGTACTGTTGGAGACAGACAGTACAGTTAGACTTGGGTTCAATGCCAGTCTCCACCACTTACTCCTCCTCAGGTGGGCCAGTCAACCTCTCTCAGCCTCATTTTTCTCCTCTGTAAAATGGGGTTAGTTCCCACCTCCCAGTGTTTGTCGTGAAGATTAAACAGCTTCCCTCTGTATGCAGAGTAAAATCCAAGATTTTACAACGATTTCCCCGCAGGCCTACAGGGAACTCATTCCCTATGTCTCAGGCTTTTGCGTTCCTTGCTGTTCTTCAAGCAAGCCAAGCTCATTCTCACCACAGGGCCTTGCTCTTTTGGTTCCCCTGCCTAGAACCCCTTCTTGTTGCTGCAGTTAGAACTCAGCTGACTGCCACTCTAGAGCCTGTCCAGAGCAGCCACCTCCAGGTGTCCCTCCTCCTCACCTTCCAGTTGCACCTGAATGGGAAAACTGGATGGTGAATTTACTTCCTTGCTTAGCCTGTCCACTTGCCTGACAGCTGTGGAGGGTTGAGTGATGACGCTCCCTAAAGGCAGGTGCATGTCCTAATCCCTGGAACCCGGGACTAGGTTTGGAAAGTGGGTCTTTGCACATGTAATCAAGTGAGGGCTCTCAACATGAGGTCATCCTGAGTACCTGCCTGGGCTCTACCTAAATCTGATATGTGTCCTGTCAAGACACCTGGGGAGAGATGATCGGGAAGGGGGAAGGCCAGGAAAACAGAGGCAGAGGCTGGAGTGATGCAGGTGCAAGCCAAGGAACACCTGGAGCCACCAGGTGGAAGATGCAGAGAAGGCCCCTCCTCTAGAGCCACTGTGGCTCTGCTGACACCTTGATTTTGGATTTCTGGTCACCAGAATCATGACAGAATCATTGTCTGTTGTTTTAAGTCACCCAGCTTGTGGTCATTGTTATGGTAGCCCCAGAAAACTAATATAGGCTCTTTTGTAGCTCCAAACACACTTATGTGCACTTTTTGCATGCCCACACATACACATGCAAGTACACACCTGGGAGGACTCACTGCCAGTGTGAAAACCAGTAAGGTTGTTAGAGCTTTGCCTAGAGACCTTCTCTATCCCCTCTGGTGCCAGCTGGAGCCTGGGATCACCAAATGTGCTGATGCAGACAGCTAGAAAGGACTCAAGCCCAGGACTGCAGGATGTCAGAGAGCCTCGTTCTCCTTCTGGAGCAGCCACAGGGTGGGCTTGGAGATCAGCTTGCCAAACAGAAGATTGTGCTGGTGGTGTGCATACAGATGAGTGTGTGACATCTATGTGTGAATGATGCTGGATGTGGAATGTTGGGAGTGAGGTGTTGACAGTGTGAAGATGACTTTGTGTTGGAATCTTTGTGTATCAGTGCATGTTGGTGTAAGATTGAGAATGTGTGAGTGAGAACCCTGAGGACAAATGGATTGAGTCTGTGAGACAATGCCAAGCTGCCCAAACAATAAACCTGTAATCCCAGCTACTCAGGAGGCAGAGACCAGGAGGACTGCAGTTCAAAGCTAGTCCCACAGTTTGAGAAACCTTATCTAGAAAACACTCACACAAAACAGGACTGGTGGAGCGGCTCAAGTGGAAGGCCCTGAGTTCAAACCCCAGTACTGACAAAAAACAAAAACAAAAAAACCAAACAACCCCTCCCCGCCACCAAATCCTCTAGAATACTGGGGAATGGAAAGTGGGACTCAGAGGGTAGACTGTTGGGTTCAAACGTCATACTGTCCTTCACTGGATGTGTGACCTGGGGCAGGTCACTGTACCTCTCTGAGCCTCAGACTCCCCACTTGTAATATGATGGTACCTGGCTCAGAGGCTTGCTGTAAGAAGAAAAAGTGATAAGGTGGGCGGCAGATTCTCAGCGCAGGTCCGGATAGAGGAAGAGAGGTCAACAGGAGCCATCACGTGTCACCTGTTTATCTGGCACAAGGGCTTCCCTACCCCATCCCCGCACTACGCTGGGCCGTACAGGGAACTCTAGGGCAGGGGACAGTTACAGGGCACACGACTTCCTCCCCCACTCGGCGCCTACTGTACACCTGGGGAGGAGGGGACTGGCGGGCGACAGCGGGGACCCTGAGCCAGGGCTGTGTGTGCTGTGATGGGTTTCCCACAGGTCTGGACGCTCACGCCGGAGGACATACTTAGCTCACGCTGCGGCCGAGCAGAACTTGAACCAGGTCCACACGTGAGGCGTGGCCACCGACAGACCGCGATCAGCTCCCCGCCCACCTACGATCCCGCCCACGTCGCATCCCGTGGGGTCGCTACCGGAAGTGATGCGAGACGGAACGTTTTCGCGAGACACCCTCCGAGGCATTCCGGGGTTAGGGTCTGAAGTTCTGGCCGAGGTACTGGGAGCGCCGGCCAGGGATCCGGGACAAAATGCTAAAATCGAGCTCAGACGCACAGAACCGATGGCTCCTACCAACTGACGGGAACGAGGTCGGACCTCAGAAATCTCACCTGTCCTGACTTCCACGTCAGGTCAGCAGGTTCTCCAAAAGCTACTAGCAGAAGAGAGCATAGCGGTTCTGCATCCCAGCCTCTCGTCTTACGAGGGTGTGAATCAGTTCACCTGTCAGTAAAGTGCGACCACTAGTTAGTGCCTCGCGGTAGGGAAACTGAGGCGAGACGAGGAGACCTCGCACTCTCTGCCAGGGGCGCCGCTGGCCCACAGTATGGCCAGGGAGCATCTTTCTTCTCGCCCCGACCGTTTTCTGGAGAAGAGCGTCTTCGTTTTCTTTTAATCTTAGAAACTTACAACAACCCCTCGGCCGCTGAGGCCACACCTCCCTCGGCTGTGGGTGTAGCCGGAAAGAGCCTCTACGGAAGCCGGCAGGGCCGCGCGGCGCTTCACCATGGCGACGGCTGGGGCCCCGCGGCGCTTCTGCCGCTGCGCTTGCTTCTGCTCCGAGAACTTGTACGTGGCGCGTTACGGGCTGCACCTGCGCTTCCGGAGCGAGCAGCAGCTGCGCCAGGACTATGTCCCCGTGAGTGTCTTCTGCTGGCTTTCCGGAGAAATGCGAGGGCGGAGGAGGGACCTTCCTCCCCGAAATCGTTTGCTTTGCCCGCCTCGCGCTCCGGGTGCTAAGGCTGGCCCTCTCCGTGCCTCAGTTTCCTCGTCTTAAAGGGAGATCATGGAATCTCCTGCGTGAGTGGTGAGGAATGAATGAAGGCGATGAAGTGTGGAATGCGCTGGGTGGGCGCAGCGGGGAGCACTGCTCTGTGCTGAACGAGGTGTTGCAGTCCCCCTCCAAACGATCCTGTGACATCGGGTTCTCAGCTTCTTTTTGAGGGGGAAATGGAGGCTCAGAGACGTTAGGTGATTTGCCCAAGGTCACGTGGCCATGCCCACTGATGTCTTTCTACTTCTAGATTCTGCGCAGCCGGGGCTGTATTAGCCCCCAGGACTTCCAGCAGCTCTTAGCAGAGGTAACACTGCCCGCCCTTCCTCTAGATCTGTGTCAGCAGGCTGCGAGGTCTCCCAGCCTCAGGCCTGGCCTCCCCTGATCCCTAAAGGACTTCTTAGCTCTCCTCCCCGACTCCTGGGTCCTGGTACCAGGAGAGAGAAATCAAGAAATGCCAAGTTGTTTGCCCCTGGCCATCACCCCCACTTGGGGACGAGAAACAAGTGTTGGTCACTGGCCAGGGTCTCTCACAGCAGGTGGAGTTAAAACGGCTGCAGGCCCCTGGGCTCTTCCACTGCACTCACTTCTCCCATAGGTTGGTGCGAGGGCTGCTGTGGCACCCCTTGCTGCCTTCCCCACCTGGGGCTGCTGGAATGCAGGACTTGACCTTGACTCTGTTCTCTTCTCCTGAGTGGCTCAGCTGGTTAAGGTCCAACCAGAGGCTCTCATCCTAGGCAGACTCAGGCTGGGGACAGTCCCTTGATGCTCCAAGGTAACAACTTGGTGCTGCCACCCACCTAGATAGACTCAGGATTCTAGGGAGACTTGGCTAGGAAGCCAACTCTGGCTTTCCTGGGCCTCGGTTTCTTCACGTGTACAATGGCTTCGGGGGGCTGCGAGGCTCTGCCTGACAACTTAGCCCTGTGCCACCCCAGCTTGAGCAGGAGGTGGAGCGGCGGCGACGACTAGGGCAGGAGTCAGCTGCCAGGAAAGCCCTCATCTTGAGCTCTTACCAACCAGCACGGCCCGACATTTACTACCCACTGCAGGTACCAAGCAGGCAGCTTGGGGCTGGTTACTGGGAGGAGGCGACAACACTCAGGTGGGGGCTGCCTTTCCCACTGTTGGTGTGCTTTGCCCCAGGATGCAGCTCTGGCCCCTGAGTTTCTGGCCGCTGCTGAGTACAGTGCATCTCCGGGCGCAGACCTCCAAGGCCTTCTGCAGCGGCTGGAGACATTGTCGGGTGAGGTCTTGGTTGGACTCGGGTGGCAGCCTGAAATACCTGGGCATGGGGGACTGGGGACCCTTCACCTGTCATTTCTGCCCTCGAAATCCAAACCAGCAGGAGCTGGAAGGGCCAATGGGACTACCCTGCCAGGAGCAGGGTAGAAGTGAAGGCCCTCCATATCCCCATTGTATAAACGAGGAAACTGAGGCTGGGGCAGTGCAAAAACATGCCAGGATGCTGAGACCTAGGCTGGTCCAACCTTTCCTCAGAGCTCCCAGCCCACTGTCTGTCTTTCTGCTCTGTCCACAGAGGAGAAGCGCATCTATCGGGTGCCTGTGTTCACGCCGACATTCTGCCAGGCCCTGCTGGAGGAGCTGGAACACTTCGAACAGTCAGACATGCCCAAGGGAAGGCCCAACACCATGAACAACTACGGGGTGGGTGAAGTCTGGCCTGGCACCCGAGGGCAGGGGCAGCCAAGTGGGGACACGAATCCCAAGTGCTGCAGGTGATCTCCCTGTCTGTCTGCAAAATGAGGTTATGGCAAATGAGTTGATACCTGCAGAACCTTTAGTACCTTAGTGTCATTAGTAAGGGATGTCCCATGGATGCAGGGCGAGGCCCCAGCAGTCCCCCTACTCACTCCAGGGACCCTCTCTCAGATGCTGCTTCATGAGCTAGGCCTGGATGAGCCACTGGTGACACCACTGCGGGAGCGCTTCCTGCAGCCGCTGATGGCCCTACTGTACCCAGATTGTGGTGGGGGCCAGGCTTGACAGCCACCGTGCCTTCGTGGTCAAATACGCACTGGGCCAGGACCAGGAACTAGGCTGCCACTACGATAATGCTGAGCTCACCCTTAATGTGGCCCTGGGAAAGGCCTTCACCGGGGGTGCCCTATACTTTGGGGGCCTCTTCCAGGTGAGCGGTGTGAAACCCGCAGGGCAGGCCCTGGGGTAGTTGGGAGTGCCCACACCTGACCCCTCTATCTGCAGGCACCCGCAGCCCTGACGGAGCCCTTGGAGGTGGAGCACGTGATGGGCCAGGGTGTGCTGCACCGGGGTGGTCAGCTGCATGGCGCCCGGCCCCTGGGCACTGGCGAGCGCTGCAATCTCATCGTCTGGCTCCGGGCCTCTGTAGTGCGCAACCGCTTCTGTCCCATGTGTTGCCGTGAGCCAGACCTGGTGGATGACGATGGCTTCGGGGACGGCTTTACCCGGGATGAACCCACCACCGTGGATGTGTGTGCACTGACCTGACCAGGTTCATCCAGAGATGGCAGTGGTGTGACATGACAAGTGAAGGCTCTGCCACCTTGGCTTGGGAAGGGCAGAAATAAACTCTACAACCATGACACTCCTTGGATCAAAAGGCCATGCTGGCGCTGGAGGCATGGCTCAAGTGGTAGAGCACCTGGCTAGCAAGCATGAAGCCCCGAGTTCAAATCCCAGGACCACTCCCCATCCTTTCCCACCCCCACCCTTAAAGGCTTCTGGGTTACTGTATGGCAGGTTTGCTTGAAGCAGAGCCTGACGGGGGATTCTTGGAGAGAGACCTCAGAGGTGTGTGGGGGGGAGCAGAAGAGAGCACACAAAGCAGCCTCAGCCCAACCCCTGGAGGTGAGTGGGAATCCCAGCACAGTTGTTTCCCAGCAGCAGCTAGTGGCTCTGGGATGGGCCAGGGAGGAGCGAGTGACTTCCCAGACATCCTCCTCTTGGTCAAGGGCTCCCAGTGGCCATGGGAGGCCTCCAGCAGAGAATACATGTGTCACCTATCTGCAGTGCTAGGGGGTTGGGTGGGCCACCAGTAGCAACCTGTGGGTAGGTGTGGAGGGCTTAAGCCACACCGAGTTCAAATCCTGGTTCCGCCACTCTGGCTGTGTGTGTAACCCTGTGGACTTCTTTGTACCTTGGAGGGTGGTGTGAGAATCCAGTGATTTCGACACTTAAAAAATGCTTTACAACAGCCCTCCGTGTTTGCTGCTGTTAATAAAACGCTCAAAACTGGTGGCTGCAAGATTAGACGAGACACATGTGCACCCGAGTTTTCCTGGGGCAACAAATTTGAAACCCAGGGGATTTCCATATTGAAATCTTGACTTCTGGCTTCCCTGGAAAGGTGGGCAGATGTGGAAACACCAGTCCCCATTCTCACACTGCAAAACCCAGCTGTAATGAAGCCTTAGTTGCGCACTCCCAGGCCCGGGGGGTCCACTTCTTCCTTCGTTGTCATCATCTCTCTGGCCCCTCTTGCACCCCCGGTACTGGGTGATGTTAGGAGGCCCTGGAGCCCAGTCTGATGGCCTGGACAGGCCCGCAGACAAAGCGGGAAAAGAGCGCTGCGCAAGAAAGTCATCTTCCCAGTCTTGAGGAGACTGGTGATGCGGGTGCGATTCTTTTTGGAGGAAGGCAGAGAGAGGCGTGAGGGGTCTGAGAGCTCAGGGCTGGCGCCAGGCTGGAGAACCCTGCCTGGTCCGGGCGCGGAGCTGCGGCAGTGGGCGCGCCAGGGACGGAACCCGGGGCTTCGGAACTAAAGGCAGCTGTCCTCGCCTTACGTCCGGACGCGTCCCAGAGCACCGCCGCGGCGGAAGTGGGTCCGACGCCACCTGGCGGCTGCTTTCTCATGCGAAGGCGAGGCGTAGGCTGGCGGTGCGGCCTGATGGGCGGTTGAGGTGGGAACGGAGCAGCCTCGGGACCTCCCTGGGGCGGCGAGGCCGCGGGAAGCGTGGCGGAAAGGACCCCAGACGCCCTCGCGGCTGAGGAAAGCAAAGGGCTCCCGGGGCGCCCAGCTGGGTGCGCAGGCGTGGAGTGTCCGGGCGGGGGCGGGTCCTTAAAGGGGCCGCAGCCAGGGTTTCAGAGTCCCTAAAGGGCACGGGTGGGAGGCCACCGCGCGGTTGTTCGGGTCGGTGACAACCACTGGGCGCCCCGTTGGAGCTGCTCTTCGAGTCCAGTGTGTGGACCCGTCCAAAGGGAGCCGCGGATTAAGCGCGACCCTTACCGTCTCCAGCCCGCAGAGCAATGGCTCACATTGGTTCTCGCAAGCGCTCGAGAAGTCGCAGCCGGTCCCGCGGTCGAGGGTCGGAAAAGAGAAGGAAGAAGAGTAATAAGGACACTTCGAGGAACTGCTCGGCCTCTGGATCCCAAGGTCTCAAGGCCAGCAGCATCCGTGGGGCGGAGGGTGAGGACCACAGGGCCTGGGAAAGGGGGTGCGCCAACTTCTCTGGAGGCAGCTGCAGTTGCTGGGCCAGCTTCCAGGTACTGGCTGCTAGCAGCAGTCGGATACCGTGTCGGGCCTGGACTGAGAGGCCGCAGACGGGAGGAGGCTGGGTCTGGCCATGCCTTTTGTGTAGCTGGGCCTGACACATGGGGCCCGGCCTCCGTGCTGGGCAGATAGTAACTTCCAGGAGCCCGGAAGGTGCTCCTCCAGTGTGTGATCTGCCCTGGACAGCCCTGCTGGGAAGTCTCACCCTGTGCAGGCCTGAGCCTGCCCAGGCCGGAGCAAGGGAACCAAGGCTTACTTCCTCCTGGCCTTCCAGCCTCACCTTCTCCCTGCATCACAGAGAGAAGCAAGCACAAGGCCCGGAGGAGACCTCGATCCAGCTCCTCCTCCTCTTCTTCCAGTTCTTCTAGCTCCTCTTCTTCCTCTTCGTCCTCCTCCTCTTCCTCCAGTGATGGCCGGAAGAAGTGGGGAAAGCACAGGGACAAGAAGGACAAGAAGAGGAAGAAGAAGAAGAAGAGGAAGAAGAAGCTGAAGAAGAAAGGCAAGGAAAAGGCAGATGTGCAGCAGGCTGAGGCCCTGCCTGGCCCCTCACTGGACCAGTGGCACAGATCCACTGGAGAGGAAGAGGACGGCTCAGGTACCATGTCGCCCAGCATGCAGGGCCAGGGTCTGCTGCCCAGGCCTGCCTAGCATCTCCTCCCATCTTCCCTTCCAGTTCTGACTGACGAGCAGAAGTCCCGCATCCAGGCAATGAAGCCCATGACCAAGGAGGAGTGGGACGCCCGGCAGAGTGTCATCCGCAAGGTGGTGGACCCAGAGACAGGACGCACAAGGTGGGGAGCCTCAGGCACAGCCACGCCCCACACAGGACATCTGGAAGTCTTGGCCCGGATGTGTACTTGGGGGGTGTGTGCCACAGCTGCTCCAGAAGGCCAAATTGGAGGGATGGCCACTTGTGATGGCGACATCTCTGCTGTTCCTTGCTGTTGCCCTGTGTGAGCAGCTGCAGGGCTGCAAGGGCCTTGAGGCTTTTCAAGTGGCTGCTGTTGGCGGGGCTAGTGGTACAGGCACAGGCCAGCAAGACAGAGCCTCCCTAGTCTACCTCCATTCCTTTCCCAAAGCTGCTTGGTGGTTGCAGGGAGGAAGCACTCAGTCCCCCCGCCCACCTCAAGATGATGGGGCCTGAGGTGGCCCTGGTTCTGTTGCTCTGGCATGAGGGGCTCAGGCTCAGCCTGTTCCTTGCTTAATGGACATCCTCCCACCCCCAGGCTCATCAGGGGAGACGGGGAGGTCTTAGAGGAAATCGTAACCAAAGAACGGCACAGAGAGATCAATAAGGTCAGTGTTGTCCCTTTGCCCCGGGTCTGCCCTCAACTCTTTTTTTTTTTCCCTTTTAGTGGTACTGGGGCTTGAACTCAGGACCTATATCTTGAGTCATTCCACCAGCCCTTTTTTGTGATGGGTTTTTTGAGGTAGGATTTCAAACTGTTTGCCAGGGCTGACTTTGAATCGTGATCCTCCTGATCTCTGCCTCCTGAGTAGCTAGGATTACAGGCGTGAGCCACGGGCGCCCAGCCCCAGCTCTGTTTCTGATGCCTCCTCCTGTTTTTCTTCTCTAGCAAGCCACCAGAGGGGACGGACTGGCCTTCCAGATGCGAGCTGGGTTGCTTCCCTGAGGGCTCTGGCTGGCTGAGGCCTGTGGACTGCTGGCGGAGGCCAGTCTGATGGGGGCATCTACTCCTTCTCCGATGTGGTGGGGGGGGGTACCTGGCCTCCTCAGCACCACATCTGGATTACAGTGTCCCAGTATTAAATGTTCCCTTGTTACAGACTTCCTGTCCTGTTGGTTTCTTGTGCTGAGGGGGTCGGGAAAAACAGGCTCCAGGAGCTTTGAGGAGAGCTGCGCGTCTGCTGATGGTAGTAAGCACAGGTCACCCCAGCCAACTCTGTTCCTCCGTCACTCCACTCCTAAGTCCAAACTCAGGCTTCGGGTGAGAGTGCTGCCTGGCTGTGCTCCATAGATCACCACAAACTGAGCCCCAGCTCCAGGGCCAGGTGGCCTGAACGGGAATGCTGACCCTGACTTACTGGCTTTGCTTCCTGTGCAGCAGAGAGGCTAACAGATCCACCTCACTCGGTGCCTGGAAAGGGCCGTCAGCCTTCCTGGCATTGCTGACTGGGAGGGATGCCTCTCCCACCATGGCCTCAGCTTGAGGACCACCCTGCCCCACCTGTACCATGGTGCCGCAGTAATGAGACCAGAAGGAAGCGCCTGCTTCTTTAATTGGTGTAACAGATAGTGATGCTGCATACAGAGCACACTCAGGCTGACGATGCAGGGACAGCAGGGGAGGGAGAGTGAGGACACACTCACACATGGCCCAGAGAGACAGACAGCACGAGGACAGACAAGGGGCCGAGATGTGAAGACTGGACTGGATGGGGCAGGGTCTCTGCGGAATCCCTCTTTAGAAATCAGAGAAGGCAGGTGGTTGGAGCTGGGTGCCGTTGAGGCTCAGTCCTGGGGTCTGGGGTGGGGGTGGGAGTGATAAGGCTTCTATTCTAACAGGCCTGGGATGGGGTGGCAGTCAGCGAGGCCTGCCTCACCCTTTGGTTACCACTGGTCAGGCCTGAGCCCTGCAGCTCAGCACCCAACGCTGTAAACATTTTTGGTATTTTAAAGGACTGTGCCTTCCCTCTTAGCTTCTTGGAAACTGGTGCTTCCTCCTCAAGAGAAGACTGTGCCAAAGGAGTCCTAGGGAGGCAGAGAGCAGACCTGGATACAGAGTGGAAAGGATGCCCGTCTCGCCATCGATGGCTGAGGGCCCTGGGAGAGGCCCAGGGGACTATTGCTGTTGTCCTTGGCATGGCTGGCGGCTGGGCAGGTGGGGGTAGGGGAGAGGTTGAGCCCGCTGCCCACTGGGCCTCCCAGCTGGGAGGCCTTCTGGCCTTTATTGCAGGTGGGCCCAAGACTTCCAGGTGCTTCTCTGGATGGCTGGTCACTGAGAAGTAGGCAGGACAGGGTGAGGTGGGGCCAAGAGGAGGCATTGGCCGCAGGGCCCTGGCAGGGTCTGTCTGTGACTGTCGGGCCAGTGGGCTCCTGCCAGGAGCAGAGGGGCCAGTATTGCACTTGACTGCAACACTTACATGGAAACTTGGTCCATAAAATAATTGTTGCTTTATACGTAACTCCTGAAACAACAAAAAGCTACATCTTAAATATGAATAAACCCTGAAGGTTCTTTTCCTCCAGACATTTTTCTCTGCACAAAATAAATAGCTTTCCCTCTGTACACATCTACACAGGAAAGTCAGCGCCCACTGCGTTCCTCCCTGGGCCAGCCACACAGCTGAGGCTGAGTCCAGCTTGGTAGTGTCTCAGGGACAGCCTGGTTACTGGACTGGGGTGGGGCCAGGTGGGCTCACCCACTTCAGGGAAGGTATAGAAGCACAGGAGGTCGCACTCAGTGCTGGGATGGGAAGGTAGGTGCTCAGACCCAGCGTGCAGGACAGTGTGTCCTTGTTCTGGTGAGAAATGAAGTTGAGGCTGCCTGCTGTTAAGCTAACGAAGCGAGCTGTGGCTTCTTAGATTCAGCATCGAAACGGAATTGGCATAAAAAACCTAAGTGTGTGCCCCACCCTAGAGTAGAAATTCAGTGGAATTAATGGGTCAGGTGAGGCAGGGAGACCACACCTCGCTGAGTGGGCCAGGGGCAGGGCCCACAGGCTAGACCAGGCTGGACTCCGTCACAGTGCTGGGTGTTTCCAATGTAGAGGGGCTGCGCTTATACTGAAAGAGTTAAGAAAAGGAAGCAGCCAAGGATTGCTCATTTAAAAAAACATCATAGAAATCAGATTGAGAAGTAGAAAGGCGTAGAAACGCGGGTGGGTGGGCCTGACCCATGGCAGGCAAGGAGTGGAAGTGGAGACCAGGCCTGCCCAGGCCCTGCAGCCCAAGGTGCGGCCACTTGGGCTTCACAAGCCTCGTGCCTGTACTGTGCTCAGGGCTGGGAATGACATCGGGCCTGGGACCAGACTGGGCTCCAGATGGGGCAGGTGGACAGGTGGGCAGCAGTCCAGGGCTGCCACAGCGCTGGAAGGCCAGGCAGGGCTGCAGAAATTAAGATATGGCCTTTCTCTCCTGCTTGCACAAGGATTTGCCACACTGGAACCTTCTGTGTTAGTGACCAGTTCTGATCAGCAAATACTGAATTTTCATGCATATCAACAAATCTGTAGCCACAGGAGATGGTAATGGGTCTCCACTCTCAAAAATCAGTGCAAAACCAGTGAGGTTGAACAGTTGAGAAACAGGAGTCAACAAGAAGCAGGCTGGACTCCTGTTGGAGCTGCTACCAAATAGGAGGGGCTTGGGGGAAGGGAAGCTAGTGGACAGGGCGGTGGCAGGTTGGGCCTGGACCCACACGTGGCACCAGGAGGCTAGGAGATCAATGCAGGGAAAAATGTTCAGGAGTGCCTCCCAGGCCAGACTAAGTGGGGTATCCTGGTCCCTCTGTCATCCTGGGCTGGTTGTCCTGCCAGCTTCCACAATAAGCTGGAACCCTCCACCCTAGGACACAGGACTGTGTGGCATGGCTATGTCCTCCAAGGGGCCCTGGGACAAGCTCCCAGGCTGCATCTGTGCTTGTCCCCAGCTGCCGGCATGTTCCCAGGCCAGGCCTCCCAGTGGGGCTGGCACCCTGGCCTAGCACCATGGAGACCATAGCGCCTATAATGTGCCCTACTTGGGGCCCATGGCTGCCCCAGGTTCCAGCCGGCCAGTCATGGTGCGGCCCCAGCAGCTGGCTGCCACGCTCATGCTGCGCTGGCCCCGCAGCTCACTGTCTGCCTGACTCTGCGTCCGCTCATGCCGGTGGCTGGGCCCCGTGGGCTGGGCTGAGATGGTGCGGAGCAGGTGGTTCCGAGAACGCAGGAAGTCACCCTGGCCGGGCAGACCAAAGCTGCCTTTGCGCAGCACCATGCGGGTGGCTGTGTTGCGGGCTGGTCGTGCCCGGTGGTTGTACTTGAGCTGGGCCAGGTGGGCTGCATAGCCATCCGTGATGAACTGCAAAGGCACAGAGGGGGACAGGCTGTCAGAGGGCCAGGGGCTGCCTATGCTGCCCACCTGTGCCCCCTCAGTGTGCCCACTCACCTGGCACTGCTGCTGCAGCTTCTTGGTGGGCCGGCCCACAATGTAGATCTGCATGGGGGACAGGCTGATGGAGCTGTACACTGCCACGTCCTTCGTGGAGCCGTATGCTGCATGCACGCGCAGGTGCAGCTGTGGGCGAGAACAGCGTGGGCACTCCAGGTCCGTCCTTGTCCTCCCACCCCGCTTCACTCTGCCCTCTGCCTCATGGTCCCACCTCGGAAATCAGCAGCTTCAGGAAGTTGGCCTTGTGCCTCAGAGGGTCGTGCACCAGGCCATCACAGAAGGACACCACCCCGTGGGGGAAGTTGTGCTGAGCCAGCCACGCCACCACCCGCTGCTTCTGCATGTCGGGGCGGCCGGTCACATAGATGATGAGGTAGCCCAGGTCCTGCCAGTGCCTGCAGCGAGGGGGCAGGCTTGGGTGTCCCACAGCCACCCCTCCTCTTTCCTGGCCCTCCCTGTCTCCTTCTTGGGCCACCAAAAAGTGCATCTCTAATGGAGCTCATGACAGTGGTCAAAAAGGATGAGTGACAGCAAACCCTCCTGGGTTCCTAAGTGAGCCACAGTCCTCCCAGGTGCTGTGGCAGTGGCAGCCTGCTCTCACCAGCAACCTTGTCATATGGGAACTGAAGACTGGCATCAAGAGCTTCAACAACTCACTGAAGGTCACGCAGGTAATGAGTGGTGGCAATGGACTCTAGAATCAGGTCCCCAGGGCCCAGGGGTTGTGCAAAGTTCCCTTCCTGGTGCCACTGGGCCCTCCCCCACCTGGCCTGCAGGATCCTCCTGCTGCTAAACCCACTTTTGTGACAGTTACGTTTTGCCCCTCCGGGCTACTCACCGCACCACATCCACAGCCCCGGCCCGCACCTTGGGGTCACTGCCCATGATGGACACGCTGGCGGCAAAGGAGCCGTCAATGCTGAAGACCACAAACTCCGTGCCCTTGGGCAGCACAGTGATGTAGCTGTCGGCAAATGTGTGGTCTCCCCTGGCCAGTGGGGACAGCTCATCAGAACCAACCAGACCCCTCCTCCTGCCCCCAGGAGGCTGGCCCTGCCCTGACCACCCTGTTGGAGGTGCATACCTGACCACCATCTTGATGGGGTAGACGCCCACTCCCAGGCGGTGCGTTTCAGGGATGGTGTAGGAGACACGCCCACTGCTGTTGGTCACCAGTGTGTCCAGGTGCAGCCACTCACCCGAGGGTGGCTGCATCATGACATGCACATCCACCTGGGAGGCCAGGCAAGCTAGTCACAAGCTGCCATGTCCTGGCGTCCTCAACCCCTGTGCCCCAGCCAGGGGAAGCAGGGGTTTCCCAAGGTCCCCTGTGTCCTCACCTTCTCCCCAGTCAGGGTGACCATGTCTAGGGGCCCATACATGAACCGGCCTGTCACAACCTGTGGGCCGTCCTCATTGGCAACCGCGTCATTGATCCGGTGGTTGGCTGTCACATTCTGGGGAGGGGAGAGTGATGTTGGGTGAGGGTGAAGCATGGAAGGCCACTGGGGTCTCAGGCTCAGCTCATGCTCCTGTGGGTCTGAGAAATAAACTTGGGCTGAGAGCCACACAGCCCGTGCTTGGTCCGATTCCTTGGCCTTGGGGAAGAGAGGAGCCTTTCTGGGCTTCCTTTCCTGGTACTGTGCAAGGGGCTAACAGCTCCAGCCCCACACACACAGAGTTGGAAGAAACAGTGCGCCTCTCTGCCACTCAGCTTCCTCAGTAAGACTGGGGGCTTCCATGAGGGCTAAACAGGACTTCAGGGGCAACCAAAGGACCCTCACCCGCAGCTTCACATGGGTCCTCTTGCGCTGCCACTTCTCTCTTGGCTGTGAGGGGGTGAACACAGACACCTCCTTGCCGTCCAGCTCCAGGATGCTAGAGCTGTCATGCCTCATGACCTGGAGGGCAAGTCACAGGGCAGGCTCACATCGGGTCTGCCTGCTCCAGGGGCCCAAGAGGCTGGCAGTGGGAACCTGTGAGGGTTTGGGGGGGACACTATCCAACTCTCTTCAGCCTGCCCCCGGGCCCCCAAATGCCCATCTGCTCTGTGAGTGTGCAATGTATTCCCCTCATCCCCCAAAGTTGTAACACATCTCAGCATAAAAGTTCCTCCATCCTGCATGGCCTGGTAGGGGATAGAGGGAGGAGGTCCCTTATCCATGGTCATCTACCCACAGTGTCACTCAAGGCCCCCCGTGAGGCCTGGCTGCGCCCAGGAGGTAGGGCTCTGGGTACCTGTCTTAGCAGAAAGGAGACCACGTCTGTTGACTCCCAGTAGCTGGCATGGAAGAGGTGGGGCAGCGCCACTGTAGGGAAGGCTGTGAGGGCATCAGGGCAGTACAGGGCATAGTCGATCCGCTTTTGGCCCCACCACTTTGCAGCGACTGCCAGGAGGAAGGGCCATGACTGTGCTGGGCTGGACACTTGGGCAGGGACTCCAAAGGGTCACCTGGCACCTCAGACCTATTTAGCCCAGACTTGCCTCCCTCCACCTGCAGTCAAGGCCCATCTTCTCTCAGGCCAGTGACCAGCAAGTAGCTATGTGAATAGAAAATGCCAGGAAGCGCAGGCAGCCCAAGGGCCCAGAGGGTGGCCCTGTGGTAGCTGAAGGTCTCCTCAAAAGTTGTGGGGGTGCAGGGACAAGCCTGGGTTTGGAGACAGGGCCAGCTGTCCTGATCTGGTGAGCCTGCGCCTGCTCTGGTCCTTTGTGCCCCCAGGCTTCAGGGCTGTGAAAGGCATCATGGAGGGAGTGTTTGTTTCATAATTCCTGACCCTCGAGGCCAGGCCTACTGCCTCTCTCAGCACCTGGACTGCCCCAGGATATAGGTGAGGCCTTCCAGAGGAGTGGTCCTGGGGGTCCTCTCTCATACAGCCAAGGTGTGTAGCATGCCCTGCCTGGTGGCTGCGCAAAGGAGCTGCCTGCTTTATGTGTCCTGGCTCCCTTGAGTTCTGTCTTCGGCCTGTGTGACAGAGGACTCTGAGGTGCTCCATTGGTCCTCATCTGGTCTCATTCCAGGTCCTTGGGATCCCCCTGAACCCCCTGCTAGCTCCAGCAACTCCCCCCTCCCCCTCTGGAAGTCTTCCTTCTCCCAACCCAAGGCTCCAGGACCTGGCGGTTAGGCGGTGAGACATGCTTGGCATAGCAAGTGACCCCAGAGTTAGAGGGTGTGCTGTAGGCGGAGATACCTTCTCTGAAGTCCAAGTCAGGGAGGCAGGGGGCCCTCTCCAGGCTGGGGCTTGCCTGCCTGGCCCGGGGGCGGGAGCCAGGGGTGGTGGGAGATGGGGGGGGCAGGGCAAGCAGGGACAGACGCCTGACACTGGGGGTGTGGCTGAGCGACGAGGGGGCCTCTGAGAAGCAAGAACAAGGGGAACAGCTCAGTCACACCGTGGGTCACCACATTGCCAGGGGCCAGGGAGGATTCTAGGAGATAGCCAAGGCCTGGGGCCACTGAGGGCAGACTGTCCCCATAAGAAAGAAAACTTTCAGAAACATCACATCAGCCCCAGCTCCAGTGTTAGCTGCTCTGACCACAGCTCAGAGAACCTGACCCCAGCACTGAGGGTTTCTGAGGTGGTCAGGGCCAAGCAGCCAGAGAGGCCATGGGCCTCCTCAAGCCCCTCTCTCCAGCTTCTCCTGATGAGGCCACATCCCTTAGGCTGGCACTGCTGACCCTGGGGGTCCCTGTGGTGGGGCTGTCTTGGCCCTGCAGGCTGGTTTCTACCAGCTGGATGCCACCAGCGCCCCCCTCCCTCCCAGGTGTGGCAACTAAGAATGCCTCCAGTTGAGACCACTGTGTCAGGGAGGGTGGTACAGGAAGCAGTACTCACTCTGGGCGATGCTAGATGCCGTGTAGCTCTCAGCCATGCCAGACACCTGGCTGGCAATGCTGACTTCGCTGGCTCTGCGGAAGCCACGGCTGGTGGGGGCTGTTTCAGGTGATGAGGGGGCTGCATGCTCCTGGAAGACTGTGCTGTGGGTCTGGAGTGCATCCGCTGTAGGTGGAGTGACAGAGGCCCAGGTAAGGGAGGCCCAGAAGTAGGAGAGGCCAGGGTGCCAGATGCAGCGTGTGCCTGGGCTAGGTAAGCTGGGCTGTGGCCTGCTCAGGTATTGAGAGCCAAGGGTCTGAGCAGAGGCAGGGAAGGAGAGACAGACACACACAGACACCAAGTGGGGAGGCAATGCATGGGCTCCCACCACCCCTGGCCACCTCTTGCCCCATAGGGCTCCTCAGCTGGTCTCTAGCAGCCCCAGCAGCACCCAGGCCCCGGGCTTTACCTAGCCCAGCCTGCCCTGCAGCTTGCAGAGCAGTGGTAGCCCCAGCTTGGGTTTGAGGGTGCTAAAAACAGGGGCGTTGGGTGGCTTCCTAGGAATCCCCACCATATGCTGAGGAGCAAGGAGGCAGCCTGTGGGTGGCCCTCACACATGGGCCATATAAAGCCATCATGGGGGGTCTGAGGACAAAGGCAGGTGCCGAGGGTTCCAGCAAGGCTCACCTGGGCCTGGGCTGAGAACAAGACAGAACAGGGAGGACAGGGCTCAGCTAGAGGAGCCAGTCTGGATGGAGTGTGTGTAAGGGACCTGGACATCCTCTAGGAGTGATGGGTGGGACCTAGAGACCCCAACTCCTTACTGGGATCAATGGCTTTTCCTAGGTGAGGGGTAGGGGTGACTGACTCAAGGCCTCACCCCAACTCATCTGCTCCTCACAGCCTCAAAAAGGGACAGCACCCTGTGACTGTGTCACTGTCATGCTGTGTGACCCTGGGACAGCCTCTGCCTGTCTCTGGGCCACTGGGACCTCTTTTGCTTTGGGTCTCCTCAGCCTCTGGCCTACCACATACAGGGAGGAGGCACCAAGGCTAATGCCCCAGGGTCTTGCAGGATCTCTCCTTGCTACCAACATCCCACAAACTAAGTGGCCAAAGAAGGCATAAAGGTGTGTGTGAGGACCAGGGGTCAGCAGCCAAGCAGACATTGGTCATCATGGGGGAGGGGGTACACACACTCAGCACAGCCCGGGCTCTGGCGGGGCCCGTCTTGCCAGGTGAGCGCGGGAACGGGGATACTGGTTTCCAGGAAGCCATTCCCTTGGGGGAGAGGGGCCAGGGGGCCGCCCTCCAGGACCAGCTCAGGGTTTCTCTGCACGGTCTCGACTAGAGGCAGACGGGGAGAGAACAGAGAGGACAAGAACAGACACTCGCGTGGGCCTCTGCACACGCATCAACACACACTCAGGTTCCTCGAGGACCAGGATGCACGACAAGATACCAGGATACACACTGGGGTTGGGAAACGGGCCTCTCTGGGGCTGCCCCCTCCCAGGCTCCCAGCCCAGTCTCACCCACCCTGTGCCCCTATCTGGGCCAGCTGCCTGCTGTGACGGACCCAGCCCACAATGCCTGTGAGGGGCCCTCCTGGGTCCTCAGCTGGGTGCCAACAGAGCAAGAGGCTTGGAGGAGAGGAGTATGGCTCCAGCTGCCCCCGAGGCACCATGGAGAAGCCTTGACCTGTGCCCACTAACAGGAGAAAGTCACTCTTGACTCACAGGGATCAGTGAGGACAACGCACCCCCACCTTGCCAGGTATCCACTGGGGATAGGTATCAGTGTCACTGTCTCTCCCCCTTTGGAGAAGCCACAGCAGTTTCACTGCGGAAGCTAACCCCAGCTCGGAGAAGGCGGTATGCTAAGTCCCACCTTCCTGGAAGCCTCACCCAGCAGTGTGGAGCAGCCATCCCCCAGCGGGTAGCGCTGGTAGCGAGGGACGCTGAAGGGTGGCAGGGCGTGGAAGCGCCGCTCCAGCAGTGGCTCCAGGCGGGAGGCTGATGGGTCCGCGGGGTGGAAGAGGTTGTATATTTGCTGGCAGGCTGGCCGCAGCTGGAAAACTGGGGCAGTGGGATCAGATGCAGAGAAAGCACACTGGGTGGGAGGTGGGGTCTAGATCCCAGGCTGCCTCTGCTACACCTTAGAAATTTGGGATTTTTTTTTTTTTTTTTGCAGTGCTGGGGGTAGAACCCAGTGGTACCACTGAGCTACATCCCCAGCAACCAATTTTTGTAACTGAAAAAGTTATCATGACCCTGAAGAACTGTTTCAGGAGAATATAGGAGGAAAGGCCTCCAGAACTCTGCTGTGACTTTGCGTGTATCTTTGGGAAGTACCACACAGGCCGTGGCTAGGGTTATTCCACTCCTGTCAGCGTTTAGCAATGTCTACTCATCTGTCCGATGGGGCTGCTGTGCAGACCTCCCCCTGGAGCCGTGAGGACAGGATGCAGGTGTGAACGAACTTTGCTCCCCCTCTCCCTAACACAAAAACTGCTCAAGTTTTTCGTTCTAGCACGTGTAGTTCCACCTCATTCTCTCATGGTGGCAAGAGCCCCACTGTGGCCTCTGTGCATGTGTGTGAGGCTCTGTGCGATGGTTCCAAGTGGGCTGGATGGCACTGCCCTCCAGGTGGATGGCTGCTCCCATAAGTGCACCTGGTCCTGAGGTCGTTTTAAGGCTGTGGGCTGCCTTGTGGATACTGAGCCCAGTCTGCATCTTCACCCAGCACCATGGACTAATTGCTCTTGGTGGGTGTTTAGGCTTCTCTGAGCTTCAGTTTCCCCCTCGCAGTCCATAGACATCTGCTACTGTGGGGATTCTGTGACTCCCTGGAGCTGCCCTGGATGATCCAGCAGGGCACAGGAAAGGATTCCTGCTGGAGGATGTCCAGCCCTGCCACATGTCTGTGGAGACCATGAGAAACCAGGAGGCCACTGTACCCAGGAGGTTCTGGGGGTGCTCAGCTTCACATCTTCCCTAAGGGAGGGCCTTACACCCAGAGACTGGGTCAGTCCTACCTGACCCTGTTGGTGCCTGCAACTAAGTACCTTTGAGAGGGAGAAGTGGCAGGTGTGGGGGCAGTCAGAGAATAAACTGCCAAAGCAGAAGAGGGCAGTGGCCCTTGTTGGTTAGGGTGTGAGAAGGGCCAGATGTGACCGTGGCCTCAGGATGGGTCCAAGAAGCTCTTGCCCAGATCGTGCCCTCTGGCCTGCCCCTGTAGGGCCCTCACCATCCAGTGCAGGAATGACGGTTTTCCTCAGGGCCAGGACCAGCCCTAATGGGCACCCAAACAGGAAGAGGTCAGCGATCTCGAAGTCAAACTTGCCCAGGGCCCCGGTGCCATCCAGCATGGTGGAGCTGCTTGAGCGGCGGGAGCTGGACTCATTCCTCAGAACACTGGCATGGAGGCTGCAGTGGGGGACATGCAAGTCATGCCAGGGTCTTTCTTAAGGCTGGCCTTCCCTCAGACTCATGGGGGAACAGGTGGGATCTGATAGCCCCTCAGGGACTCAATCCTGTGCTGTCCTGAGGATACAGCTGCCCAGCTGCCCAGCGGCTGTTGGGAAACTTCTGGTGCTAGCCAGTCACAACCTTTGGGGAAGCCCTGAGTGGACCACACTGTCCCTGGGCACTTCTGCCTCCACCTTGGCAATGCTCTACCCTCCCCCCACCCCAGGACAATGTTTCCTATATCTTTGGGTGGCTTTGGTGCATACAGGATGACGATACCCAGTAAACTGGGGCACCCTTCCCAGTACAGCACATCTGGTAGAGATCTCCAGGACCCATGCCAATGGCTGACATTTGGGTAGTGAAGGGCCCTCTGGTACCTCTGCTCTGGGCTGCCCCTCCCTCTGGCAGTGTCCTTCTTTGCCCAGCCTGTCCCGAGCCTTACCTGGACAGAAAGGCCTGGTGCTGCTGGATGGTGTCCAGCTCGTAGGTGGAGGAGTCGCTCCTCTTGCGGGGCAGCTGCCTTTTGGGGTCCTCTGCACCATTGCTTCGGGGGATGTCGACGTTGCTGCGGCTTAGGTGTCGACTGCTCTCTAGGTTGGAGCTGCTGCCACTACCACTACCGCCAGAGCAGTGTGCTGCGTTCACCATGATGCCCGGGGAGAGCAGATCGGCATCCTGGAATTGCCCCATGTAGGCTCACTGCTGGCCAGCCCTGGCTTGGCCCCTTCTTCAATGTCCTGTGCTGCCCATCCTCCTGACTGCAGGCCCTGCTGGCCACTGCCCAGATGTAGGCTTCTCACCCAAGCCAGAGAGGAAGAGGGGAAGCCCTTATCTCCCACCAACCCTAGACCACCAGCCAACTCCTAGCAACCTTCATTCCTGGCCTAGCTGACCACTAGGGACCTTGGTGATCTCCCTTAGGCCGTTGGCCACTCTGTGGCAGGGGGACCTCAGTCCTCCCTCCTTGATGGGAGGACAGGGTCCACCTGTCTCACCTTCTAGTACCAAAGTCTGCTCCATATGCAGTAGGCCTTGGTTTGTGGTCTACTATGCATACTTCCCTGGGCTCAGCCATGATGCATGGTTCATGTGCTCTCATGCACCTGTCCTGCCACATCTGGTCACCTGCACTGGAAGCCTCTGCTCTTCCCATCCCTCTACTGAGGGGATTCTTAGGAATTCTCCCTAGCTCATGTGGGCTGATGTGGACCTGTGCCTTGGTTCCTTCCTTGACTCAGCTCTACCCCTGGCGGGCATCCTCTGCTCCCCTGCACCAGTTCTAGCCCTCCTCGTCTCCTGGTCTAGAGGGAAACTCCTGCCAGGGTTAGGTGCTAAGTGTTTGCTGAGTGAACAAAATAAATGGAGCTAGGCTGGGTAGTGTGCAAGTCAGCTCCTTGGGGTCTTTGCGGGGCACTCTGGTTGGGAGCACAGCATGGGGCTAGGTTAGCTTGGGGCCCCACAGCAGACCAGGCAGCCTGATGATAGGCGATTTGAAGGCCTTGTGACACATGACATATAGGAGATGAAGGCACTGGTGAAGCTTTGGGGCCAAGGGAGGGTGGTCCTCCTGTATAGTATCCCCCGCTCAGGTACCTGCACGCTGACCACGCTGCCCCGGCGGCTGCTGCTCTGACTCTCAGACACTGGCTGGCTGCTGTAGCATAAGGCATCAAATGCCAGGATGCCCCCAACGCAGTCCCCAATCAGGCAGACCTGAGGCAGGAGGGGCCCAGAGTCCTGAGTGTCCACCATGCTTGCTGGGCTGCAGGCTGGGGAAAGCCATCCCCCAGTCCTCTAGCCAGCCCACCTTTCAAGGTCTTCTCCTACCCACTATGACTCACCTGTCCATTGAAGGTCACACCCTCCTGGGACTTGATGAAATCCCCATAGGCCAGGTTGGCCCGCTGAATCACCATGGCAACTGCCTCCTGGTACTGTGGTGAGGAAGTGGCCAGCAGGGGCAGGGCAGCCAGGGGCATGTGGTCCTGGCTGCTGGACAGACAGCCCTCGTCGTGCCCATAGGGGCTGAGGCTGGGGGGAGGGGCTGGGTCAGGAGAGGGCAGGTGGCCACAGCTTAACTCAAGAGCCTCCTCCCTTGCCCTGGGCAGTAAGCCGGACAGTAGAGTCCCTAAGTGTTCATGGAGATGTGCCCAGGCCTGGCCCTGGGCAGGCTCAGGGGACCAGGGCCACTGAGTAGAGCCATATTCCAGAGGCACATCAGTATCCCCACATAAACAGAATTGGAAACTGAGGCTCAACTTGGGCCTACTCTCCTGGAATTTAAGGTCAGCCTGTCTACATAGATTCTCCTATCTTTGCAAAGAGGGGCTGATCAGGGGACTGCACACTGAGGGGAGCCCCCTGATTCTCTGGGCACAGAGATAGGGGCAGTGTACCGCCCCTCCCCTCCCTGTGGGGCAGGGAGGCTGTAGTGGGCAGAAGCCACTCACTTGGAGACAAGGGCGAAGGCGTCAGCGCAGATGGGTGGGCAGGGAACCAGGCGGAGGGCAAGGTGGCCCAGGGCGCTGGGGTAGTGCACACGCATGACGGTGTCGAACACACTGGCGATGGTGTTGGTGTCGCCCTGCTTGGCGCTGGGGTCCCCGGCGCCTGCGTCCAAGATGGTGCCTCCGTGCAGCACCAGCAGCAGCACGTGCACCTTGGAGGGCGGCACAGCCAGTGGCTGACTCACCTCGTCCTGCACAGGTAGGGGACAGGTGTCACTCATTAGCAGGTCCCTGTACCCTGGGTGGGAGGCCTGTCTTGGTCCAATTGCTCTAAAAGATGATTTTGTATCCAGTCGTGGGCTATCTCACAGGAGTCACTGCCTCTGCCTCTCCCTCAAATCCCTGCAGAGACCAGAATCTGAAGGAGGAGTAGGGAGGCCGGAAGGGAGCACTGAGGACCTAAGGGAGGAGATATTCTTCTGAAAGCACTAGCTCTATTTCTTTCTGGGTGCAGGTGCCGTTTCAGGTTGGGATCCCTGCTTCAGAGGAGGTTGAGCCCCTTGCCTAGCCTCTGAAGCTCTGCTTCCCCATGTTTCTAGGTATGGGTCTGTCGTGGCCCAAGCAGTCAGGGCAAATCAAATGCTGGCTCAGAGTCACAGGGGTCCCTAGGAGTAGCTGGGGTCAGGGTGGCAATCTGGCCACTCTGCCTGCAGCTCTGCTCTGCTGGTACCCAGGCCCCCAAATGCAGAGGTGTCCTGGCAGAGGCAGGGCACCAGTGCCTTCTGTAAGGATGGTAGCACAAGTTTGTTAGCCTGATTACAAGGTCCTGACCCCTCCTTCCCACTCATCAGGCTTGCATGTGAGGTCAAAGTGAGACCACAGAAAGCACACCTGTGCATAAAGGTCTGGAGAGGAGGTGGTGGAGCAAGGAGAGGCCCAGGGACTGGTCTAACATATGGCATGTGAGCACCAAGCCACATCGAAGCCCCTGTCAAAGCTGAGGGCCCCCCAGGGGCCTCCTCCTGACCCCCACCCAAGCTTCTGGTGTGTGACTGGGAGGCAGGATGCCCAAGAGGGGCCACTGGTGAGTACATAGTATGTTATGCCAGGGTGTGGGCATGGGCTGGGAAGGGAACTGAGAGGAGACCAGTCATGGGCCAGAGGGCTCTCTCTCCTCCCAGGGGCCAGAGCAGGACCAGCACCTGTCTCCACCACTGGCTGGCCTTGGCAGGAGGGATGACTAGACAGCCTTACTGGGCCCATGTGAGGACTTCTCCAACGCAATGAATCAAGGGCTATGGAAGAAATGTCTAGGATAGCCTGCTGTCCAGTGGCACTAAGTCACCCGGGCATAGGCAGGGTGGAGCAGTAGGGGCTGGGAGAACCCTGCATGTACTGGGCCCAGCACTAGAGCCCCCACAGGGACCACTGAAACACAACTGTCCTCATACCTGGCCTAAGACAGAACTCTTCCTGCCCTGAAACCCTGTGGGAACAAGCCCACAGGTATCATGGGGCCAGCTCTGGAGAACCAAGGTGTCCCCCTATCAGTGTCTCCATAAAGCTGCCCTCTTCCACAGGGGAAGACTCCAGGTTGGGGGTTACTGCCAGCAGAGGGGTCTGACTTTGGATGGTGGTACCCCAGAATCAGTGCTGGGTTTCAAACGCACATCCCAAGACAGATCCTGAGCTCCAGGCCCCTCTGCCCCTCCACTGGGAACAGTCAGAGCTGTGTGTGCTGCAAGTGGGGGAGGGGCTCTGCTTTATGTAGCCATTAAGTAGCATCTGGAAATCACTCCCCTTATCTGTTGCTCCTTCCAGAAAAGCTCACTTTGACCCCAGACCTCAAAGAAGACCCCAGGAGGAAGGGGAGAGGTGTAGATGCTCCCCCTGCCAGACTCCCCCCGGTGACCTGAATTCCTATGGCAGTGCTGTCTCCACATCAGGCAGCTTGGGGCCAGAGCAGTGTGACCGCAGCATGGTACAACCTGACTCAGCCTGGCTCTTGCCTTCAGTGCAAACAGCTCTGACTGCCCGCAGGTGGAGGAGGAGGGGATGAATTCCAGCAAAGAACCCCTGAAGCGGACATAGACTCCACAAAGACAGCTTTATTGGACACACTGAGCTCTGCCTGACCCCACGGGCCACCTCGAAGGCCACGGCCACATCACTTCTGCCTAGGCGACTTTTGCTTTCTTCCCTTCCGTCTTTTTATCTTCAGGAACAGCAGACAGGCTGGGCACAAGGTGAAGATCTTATTTTTGATCTGGAATTTACAAGTTTCTCATTTTACTTTCCCAACAGGTGGAGCTTGGCCAAGGTCTTCCTTGGGGGCTGTCTGCTGTCCCTGGTTCTCAGACATCAGCGAGGGCTGGCAGACCCTTCCCTAGCACAGTTGCAAGGAAAGGATGCCCTGGGCCTTTCCAGCCAGTGCTCCAACAAGCATGGATGTGAGGCTTTGGTGCAGAGTTCTATTCTGAACCCCAAAATAGGTCCTCTGTGCCCTGCCCCCCCTGCAGTTCAGGCAGCACAGCCCCAGATCCTCAGCACCCAGGTGGGTACCCACCTCAATGATGTTCAGCTGCTCCACGCTGGAGGCCACTGTGAACTCAGGGCCACTCTGGCGGTACGGACCATCTGCAACACAGAAGCCGTGTTGTGAGCTGAGGTCCAACTGGGTAGCCTGGCCTGAGGCTGAAACTGTGATGAGGGAACTTGGGTCAGGGGTCCGCCCAAGCCCTTGGATCTCAGCACTGTGCAGAAGCTGGGTGAGAAAGGAGCGGGCAAGCTCCAAAGACTTCTAGTGCTGGTTACCTTGTGTGTCCTCTGGCTCTGGACTCTCCATTTTGTCCATGAGGTCATTGGAGCTCCACTTAGTGATGTCCTCAGGAAACATTTCCTCCGAGTCAGACAGGTCCTCTGGGAAGGTAGGGGCTTCACTGGAGACTGGGGGCCACACTGAGAGACCCTGTGCTTGAGTCCACATGTCTAGTGTGCTTGGTTCTGCTCTCTGCCCTCTTAAAATAACAGCCATGCAGCTGCATACCACCTGACCTTTCCTTTTTTTTTTTTTAAATGTGGTCACATTCACATAACATTAAAATTTACCATGTAATCCATTTTAAAGTAGCATTTAATGCATTCACAATACTGTGCAAGCATCACCACTCTCCAGTTCCAGGATATTTTCATTACCCATAAATGGAACCCTTACCTATAAGCAGTCAGTCCTCACCTCCCTCCCAGCCCCTGGTCACCAGGAACAAATCTGCTTTGTCCTCTGTCCACTTGCCCGTTGGCAGAACCACATACTCTATGGCCTTGTGTGCCTGGCTTCTTTCACGTAGCATCACGCTTTCAAGGTCCATCCACGTTATAATGTCTCAGAGCTTACTTTCTTTTTATGGATGAACCTGATCCTTTTGTTTATCCATTCAGTAGGGTGGTTTTTTGTTTTGTTTTGTTTTGTTTGTGGTACTGAGGATTGAACCCAGGCCTCAAGCTTCTACCACTTGAACTACTCTTGTCCTTGTTCCTAACTGTGCCAGGAACTTTTTTTTTTTTGGTGGGATTGGGGTTTTAACTCAGGGTTTCCAGCTTGCCAAGCAGGTGCTCTACCACTTAAGCCATACCCCTAGTCCACTTTGCTCTGGTCTCTCAAATGATTTGCCTGAGCGGGACTCAAACCACGATCCTCCTGATCTAAGCCTCCCAAGTAGCTAGGATTACAGCCTCCCAAGTAGCTAGGAGCCACCGGTGCCTGGAGGCCTGGAACTCTTGAACCGCCTGCTTCTGTCTCCCAAGTAACTGATGTCTTTTGTTTTCTATTTATTTTTTGGTGGAACTGGGGTTTGAACTCAGGGCTCATTCATGCAAAATAGGTGCTCAAAAACCAGGCACTACCAATTGAGCCACACTTTTAGTCCTTTTTGCTCTGGTTATTTTGGAGAAGTATTTGCCTGGGCTGGCCTTGAACTGTGATCCTCCCAATCTTAGCCTCCCAAGTAGCAGGGATTACTGGCGTGAGCCAGTGACTCCCGGTGCTGATATCTTTTAATGAGAGCAGCTTAGTGAGAAAGACTTCTCTGAATACTGCATACCTGATCCTTACTTCTGTTTTTCTGGAACTTCCTCTAGGGCAGAGGCAGCTGTCCGGGCTTGGGGTCATGCCCAGCCATAGATGGCCTCCTGAGCCAGGTTCCCTGGGACACTGAGGCTCAGGCATCTCCAGCTTTCTCTCTTCTCTTTTACAGCTTTTCCTATACTTGATGTGTACTTTCCTCTTGTCAGGGACAAAGTGCCAGCTGGGAGGGGTGGGACACCAAAGACATCACCCTCAGAGAGGCCCCTCATGCAGAATTTGGCTCAAGAACCACCTGCCACCCCTTCTAGGTAGTCCTGCTCCAGGTAAACAAGGCACTTTTCTTTTGGCTGGACACTTGAGTCTCCAAGTTCTTTCTCCTTAGGGCCAACTGGTTAGTTAACTAAGGTGCTACACTTAGGTGGATCCTCTGCTCCTCTGAGCCACAGTGGTGGCATAAGAGGGCTTTTACCACCCTGCCCTACTGTGTATCTGTGAGCAAGTCCTCATCCCTTTCTGAGCCTCTGCCCTGCCGCACACACTGGGGACTGACTCAGCATCCAGAGGAACCCATCTCCCTGTGCCTTCCTGCCCAGCCCCTTCAACCTCTTTGAGAAAAACAGTCAAGGCATCAAGCCAGTGAGTTGGTACTTGCACCTTTCCAGCACAGGTGATCCATCAGCTGTGTGCTCATGGTGCTTATTTTGGGATTGGTGGGAAAACGGACAATTCATCTAGTCTCTATTTATTGCATTTTCTAAAGTGTCTATATTACATGTGTATATAATTTGCATTAATTGTATTAATTTAATCAAGACAAACAAGGTAAGTACAAAATAAAATTTAGAATACTGTAAGTTATACTTCTTACAGAAATAAATTCACATAAGAAAAAATGCCTCCATGCCGGCAGTGTAGCTTAAGTGGTAGAGCCCTTGCCTAGCAAGTAGGAAGCTCTGAGTTCAACCCCCCAGTACCACCAAAAAAATGCCTCCATGTTACTGTATATCCTTTTCGGGTATTTCAAGAAAGAAGCCTTCTTCCTGCCAGACCATAGCACATCCTGACTTCTGGTTAGGATGAGTCTGAGACCCCAGACTCAAAGGAGCTGGCCTCCTGGTGATAGTATCTCATCCTTTGTGCCCCATCCCCAACCTCAGGCTGCCCCTAGGATGGCACAGGTATAGGTCACAGGAATAGCACAGCTTTGGGCAATTCCCACCACTTCCTGCCACACCCAGGAAGTCCCTAAGGGCTATAGGGAGCTGCCGACCTACCGTGTGCATCGAAGAATTCATCATCCGAGCTCTCATCTGAGTCTCTGGCGATACTCTGCATCCTCCACTCCGAGATGCTGTGGCGGGAAGGGCTAGCTGGAAGGTAAAACTCAGACTGACTGCCAGCCTGCAGGGGAGGGCCTAGTGGCCCTGCTGAGCCAGCTACAGCAGGAAGGGAGGTGTGAGGAAAACCCACAGGCCTATGCAGGCATTGTCAGAAGCTGCCTCTGGAGCCAGGAAGATTCAGAGATGGAAGAGGAGGCAGGAGGGGTATCCTGGACCCATCTTGATAGAAATTCCTGGATCCCTCAAGAAGAGCCCCACAGCCCATCTGACACAGGGTAGCCATGTCTGGGGAGAATGTGGGTATAGGGCATTGGGCCTAAGCCTAGGATGTGTGTTCAGATGTGCATGGTGTGCTTCTGGGCCTCTGACCTGGGTGTGATGGTGAACAAACACCTTAAACTCAACTACAGCACAGCAGACAAATGGTACAGCACTCAGGGTAGTGAGGGAAGATAGGGAGGTGACAGCACCATCTTTTTCCACAGCTGAGCCCAGGGCTGGGCTCATGGGAAAGTGGGCTTTCGGGGGACATGCTGGCCTGCATGGGGGGGACCATGCATCATCCCTTTGCCAGGATCTGATGTCTCATGTGCGCCCCTCAGAAGGTGAGGCCCCTCTGCAGGTCTGGGGAGCCCATCCAGACCTATCTCCTGGGCTCCTCAGTCTGTCTTACCCTAACTGTGTAGGTTATTCTGGGGGCCTGCTAGATGGGGGCCCTAACTTCACCGCATGGTGAGATCTAGCCTGGCACAGTTAGAAAGAGAAGGACTAGAAAATGCCTACAGAAAAAAAAAAAAAAAAAAAAAAAAGAAAAGAAAGAGAAGGACTTTGGGCTGGTAGACTGGCTCAAGTGGTAAGAGCTCCTGCCTAGCAAGCATGAGTCCCTGAATTCAAACCTCAATGCCACCAAAAAAAATAAATAAAGAAAAAGAAGGTTCTGTGTGCCCTGACAGGCTTAGCTCCATAAAGTCTATGGGAAAGAGGTCATTTTCAGAGCTAGAAGGACACAGCAGTGGATGGCTACAGGGTACAGGGACCCCAGGATAGAGGCTGGGCAGTGCTGGAGCTCAGCTCACCTCCCCGCTTGGATGACCTTGAGGACTTGGAGGACGTGGACCACTGCTTCTTCAAGCCCCGTCCCACCAGAGGTTCCCCGTTGCTGCTACTGGTCTCAGGGGGCACCCCAGACTCCTGGTCCTGGGCGGCATGGTCCTTGGCGAGCTCTGCAGCCCCCTCATCCTCAGTGAACTGAGCCATCTTTCGGGACAGCATGAGCTGTGCCTCCCTCTCCAGCTCCCGGATGTTCTCCATGCTTAGCCCATACCACTCGTCTTGCCAACACCAAGCCTGCCGGTGGGCACGCACCATCACCCGCCGCAAGCCTGCACGAGCAAGAGGGACAGGGGAAGGCTGAAGTCAGAGTGCCCAGGAGGTTCCTGGGCCAGCAGTACCCAAGGTGCAAGTCAGGCTAGAATCACTGCTTGTCTGTGCCTCACTTTCCCTACCTGTAAATGAGAGGCCTGGCTCCCAATGACCCCACAAATTCACAGTGGTTCTACAACTAAAGGGGAGGTGCTTCCTATTATAGTGTATCTGGTCAAAAGCCATAGTTAATGTGGGGGTTCCTGCCCCAGAGGGAAGTGGAATAGGATTTCCTTAGAGTCTCCTGTCTCAGTGCTTGGTTTACTTTTCCTGTTGAATTTTCCATGGAAAATCAAGCTCAAGTTCATAGTGGATTGGTCCTTCTTTTTAAAAAATGCTTTTAATAGCATTTCATTATGCATATGAGACAGAGAGAATTATATTATATACATATAATAAGGTACAAAAATATATCGTTATTTTTTTGAGACAGGGTATGTAGCCCAAGCTGGCTTTGAACTTGAGATCTTTTTGCCTCAGTCTCCTGAGTGCTGGGATTATAGATGTGTACTACTGTGCTCAGCTTAATAAAATTCTTTTTAAGGTATGAAGAGTAAAAAAGGAGCCAGGTGCCAGTGGCTCACACCTGTGATCCTAGTTACTTGGGAGTCTAAGATTGAGAATATTGTGGTTCAAGGCCACCCTGGACAAACAGTTCTCCACGCTCCATCTGCAAAAAACCAGAGCAAAATAGACTGGAGGTGTGGCTCAAGCAGTAGAGAGCCTGCTTTGCAAGCTTGAAGCTCTGAGTTCAAACCACGTTCCCACTAAAAAGAAAAAAAAAGATAGTAATAAAGGAACCATAGAGACAGAAAGCAGCTTGGAGTAGCCTTGGTCAGGGTGGGAGTGCAGATGACCCCACCCCTGAGGTGATGTGGCACTCTGAAGTCCAATACACAACTATGAATACATGTCCTAAAATTGAACTAACTGCTCTCTTACACAGGTAAAGTGGCATGTAAGCTTATGTATCCATGAGGCTGCTTTACAAAACAAGAAAAGAGGGCTGGGGACATGGTTCAAGTGGTAGTGTTTGGCCTGGCTCGCATGAGGATTTGGGATCAATCCCCAGTACTACAAACAAACAAACATCAAAAGAAAATAAAACATCCATATCTGCATTGCCCAGCAAAGGAAGAGTGTCCCCAGAAACAGAGCCTTCTACACACATGTCATGCTGTGTGCTTCTACACACACTTGCTTCTCTGGGTGAGTTTTATCCATGTCTACACTTGTATGGGGCTCTAGGGCATTGGGTTTGCTGTGGCATGATTTCATGTTTGAAACACATTTTATTTAGTCCTTTTCCTGCCAGTTGGCCCTTGGCTCATTTGCCAAATGGAATAATGATTTGTTCTCTTTGTGAACTTGCATGAGTCTCTTCAGGGGCCAAACCTGGAAGCAGTGGTGGCTGGCTCACAGGGCATACATCTTCCACTTTCCTCTGGAACACTGAATGGTCTTGCAAGTGGCCCGGCTCTGCCATGATCTCAGGCTGGTTCCCAGGTCTTCCTCCCTCTCCTCACCTTATGCCTGCCTCCACAGCCAGGTGCCTTCCTTCCTAAACCCATCCTTCTGAGAGGCCATCTGTGGAAGCTTTTGCACGCCTAGCTGTGGGACGGTGCTCTCCTTCAGCTGGCCCAAGCCCTGGTGGGGTGTCAGACACTCAGCACTAGAGAGTCCTGGTTCTCCTCTGGGCCTATCTGCTGGTCTCACGGTGCTGCTCTAAGCCAGTCTGAGCAAGGCCTTCTCCTGAGTGGCTGGAAGGGCTGGGACACAACACTCTGTTGATGTCCAAGCAGCAACAAGGACAGCTAAGACTTGTACCAACCCTGGTAGTCTCCTCTCCAAGGCCACCCAAGGAAACCAGGCCCAGCTCATGTGGGTTTGCTTGTGAGAACATTAATGTTTACAGTGTTCAGATGTGCCTGTGTGCCACAGCCATCCTTGGATCCTGCAGCAGGCCTGCAGGACTGGTGTTATTATACCCATTTTACAGATGAGGAAAGTGAGACTCAGAGAGGCAAAGAGACAGGTTGCTATATGGCAGAGCTGTAACTGGACATTAGAGATTGTGTCTTTTCTTTCCATCAACCTATTTTCTCTTCTGAGGGAAGAACTAACTTTTAGAGGGCTGTGAGTCCTTGAATTTGGCTTGGATCTTAGTAGCTTCATGTGTCAGGAGCAGGCTGAGGCCTGGGCACCATTGGCTCATGAGCCAGGAGCCCATGCATAGCTAACCCCAGAGAAGTCTCAAGGGGAAAGTGAGACAGGTCATACAGCTGACAGATTCCTGGAGGTAGAGAAAGAAAAAGGAAGGGCATGGGGAGCCATTGCCTAGCTCGTCACATGACCCCTGTGAGGTGAGAACTGTCACTCCCATCTCAGAAAGTAGGACCCACAACAAGAGGGGAACAACCCAGTCTGGCAGGCAGTCTGATTGACACCCACACTGTGTCCAAGATACCGTTTTCTGACCTCAGAGTTGGTAATGTGGGTCCCAGCCTATGAGCCCTGGGTAATAGAAGGCTGCTTTGGGTCAATCTCAGCTCCCATGTGGTTGGACAGTGGGAGGAGACCCTTTTCCAGCCACCTCCCCTGGACACTGGTATCTCTCCTGGAAAAGGAGTAGTGCATGATGTGTCTGAGATTCTGCCTTGGGGTTGGAGCTGGTGACACCATCATTCACTTTTCAGGCCCTGTCCACACTGCATCTCTGCCTCTCCAGGTGGAAGACACACCTCCTCAGACTCTAGAGCTCTGCTTTGAGCACACATGCCTCTCTTGGGGTCTCCAGCACTGACACTGCACCTGGCTGTCTATGGAGATACCCCTACTGCTGGTACAGAGAACATTTGTTCTAGAGTTCTGTTCCTTCCTATATAAACACCACAACAATGGCTACCTTTATGGGTTATCATGAACAATGTAACAAGGGTGAAGTGTGTTATTAATAGCGTACCTCTGGTTCATATTTAAATTATATCATTCTTGTTTGTGACATCACAAGGTATCTACCTGAAGCTGCCTGGGTGCCTCTCTAAGGACATGAACCTGGGGCTGGGACCAGCCTGGGTGCTGATGTCATGTTATATGGTAGAGACTAAGGGCTCTAGGGAGGGAAGGAGAGCACTTGCTGGGCTGGGAGCCCCCAGGCACTTGTTGATCCCTGGACCCCTGCTCTGGGCAGGCTTGTGTAGGTGCAAAGAACAACAAAGTCTGAGTCACTCTGCCACTGGGAACTTCCAGCATCCATAGCTGGGGGCTGGGCCTAGGGTAAAGGAAACAAAGCCTGGGAACAGGAAGCCCTGATGGGCAGCAGAGAGGCTGTCCCTAGGACTGCTCACTTCAGGTCGGGAACATCTGGGCATCAGATGTTCAGCACAGTATTCAAGGATGGCTAAGACAGGCCAGGTGAAGCTGGACACGGGCTTTGGGGTCTCCTTTTAGAAAGCAGACAATGGCAGGCAAACACATGGAGCAGAGAGGCAGACAGGCAGGTAGGCCGGTAAGTTCGTGCCCACACTTCCGGGTGTGCTCACCTGTGTCATGGATGAACCTCTCGATCTTGGACTGCATACCCCAGTAGCGGAACTCCACCTTGCACAACTTGTAGGCACACATGACAGGGAGGAGCCGCCTCTTGTACTCCTCAATCCAGTTATCGGACAGGGGCCCTCGGTGGGTCTTGGTTGACTGGAACAGCTTGGGATCTTCTTCTGTCTTATATTCGTTGGGGGGCACGGGGTCCTTGACGATGTCGATGAAGTCTGTGGAACACCCTATGAGTGGCCATGTCTGCCTAACGTCTACCTCATCCCTCTCAGGCCTTCTTCCCCCAAGTCCTTGCAGGGCTCTGGCCTTGACACGTGGGAGGGAAATGATACAGAGTGAGGATACCACTCCCGCCTGCTCACTGACTGCCAGGCCTGCTCCTTTTCTGTTGTGTTTTTTGAGGTTATCTCAGCAAAATCCATGGTCTATGTGCAGCCTACTACCAGACAAACCAGGTAAATGAGGCAATGAGCTGAAGAAATACTGGGAGGTGAATTTTCATGGAGAATGTGGGGGTGGGGAGAGGGACAGATGAGAAGGCTGATAAGTTTCCCAGGTGGCATTTTGGCCAGAGGAGTGGGATTGTGAGGCTAAAGGTCCCAGCAGCACTGATGGTGAAATGAGGTGGGGTCTTAGGGAACCCTCACTATTGGGGAAGGGGACAGCTATTACAAAGTGATGGGGATGCAGCTGGACACGTTGGCCATTTCCTGCCAGACAAGGTGTCCAGACAGCAGCCTGAGCCAGGTGGCCCTATGATGCTGAGGGCTTATCCTAGGAGGGACCCAGGCTATTTGACCCACTTGAAAAAACCCCTCTGGACAGAGGGAACTGCAGAGCTGCATTTGGCCCACAGATGTGTTTTGCTTGACCAGTGTAAGATTATTTACCAAGATTTTTAATTAGTTGCCAGTGTTTAGGAATTGGGAAATTTCACACGAAAAAATCCTGATCTCTGTCCTTTTTTTTAAAAAAAGGATTAACAAATTGGGCTTGTTTCCTGCAGGGCAATATCATCTAGAGGGGAGGGAAGTGGAGGCCACTCACCCCCAGGGGACACAGGCCCATCATCTGCCATAGCCGCCAGCCTATGGCAGTGATGCATAGCTGTCAGGCTAGGGTGGCTCCCCAAGAACATGTGGCCCCAAGCACATGTGTGCACTTCTGGGGATGGAGGAAAAGGCTTGTAGACTTGGGGTGTATGTCAAGAACATGGAAATCTGTCCTGTCTTGCCCTTGAGCCTCCCTCCACCAGGCCAGGGGATGAGGGGCAGCTCTAGTGGAGCCTGTGGATGGGGGTATAGAATGCGGCCACACAGGGTTCCAGTCCTCCTGCTCACCTGTTGTCAGCTGGTTCTTTTCCACGGGGGACAGGCTGAACACATTGGGATTTTCCCCAGCATCGGTCTTATAAAAGGTCTCAATGTCGATGGAGAACTTCTCCACGAAAGGGCAGGTGAATCTGAGGGCAGGAGAGCATCCATCAGGACTACACTTAGGGGGGCAGTGGCTGCCTGTTGAACCTCACTGGGTAGGGGCAAGACAGGGAGAGAAGGAGGGTAGGGTTGGCCGAGATGGGATAGCCCCATTCACCTCCTAGACTGTCACCTTATCCCAAGAACAGCCAGGCCAGCTTGGGGGAAGGATAGGATTGGTGAGAGGGGAGACAGGGAGGAGCTGCCTAGCTTTCTTAGCAGCTTCTGGAAGTCCCACATCTGGCATCCACTTGCTTATGGTATGGTAGGAAGGCAGGCACAGCTATAGCAGACAGTGGACTGCTGGGACATGCTACCCCACCCCAGAGGAGCTGGCTCTGGCAGGAGGGGAACAGCCCTTTTCTGAGATGCAGATGAGCTCCTGAAATCCTCCAGCAAGTCCCAGGTGCTCCCTGGGTTTGTGGGCTTGGGAAAGGAGGCTCTGGGAGGCTTGTGAGGAGTACACCGCTCAGTGAAAGTATAGCTAGTAGGAGCAGCCCCTGTCCACACAACCTAGCAGTGCTGAGCTATGTACTGGGGGCCATGGAGTGGGGATCCCCTGCTGGGAGCCCCGAGTCAAGCCCTGATCAGCATGGGATGTAGCAAAACACTGCCACAACAGCTGAAGGGCCCAGAGGTGGAGGACCCTAATGGTCCACCCTTAGTTCACATTTCTTCTAGCAGGCTGACTGGCTGGCCTGCTCGGCTGAACTTAGAATGAGTTGGCATTCCCTGAACTTTCCAGAAGCAAAGTGGTTTCCAGCAGCTCTCACTCAACTCCTGCCTTTGTGGCCTCCATCCTTGGGTAGCTTGGGAGTCACCCCAGGTTCCAGCTTTCCTTCTTCTGCATGTGATTGTCCTGGGGAACCTTCAGAGTATCCATCTGGGCCAGAGCCTGGTACCATTGGGAGTGGAAGGGTACAGCCTGCCTGGAGGTCCCAGCCCCTGGACCTGTGCTGCAAGGTTCCTCCCCCCAGGTGGTATGCTGAGGAGGAAGCAGAGGTAGGCACACCTGGTTCGGGTGTAGGGGTAGGCATTCCAGGATTCCTCCACCACCCGCAGGGCTGCCTTGGGCAAAATGGAGCGGAACCAGCCAGGTATGTGCATGCCCACATGGTACACCTTGTGTGTGTACTGCCCGGAGCCACCGGGACCATCAGTGTAGGGCCGGTTTTCCAGGATCTCCACACCACTGCCTTCACCATACGTCTCATTACGGCTCTTCTTCTGTGGGGACAAAACACCATGATGTGTGTGGTCAGAGCAGTCTGCACAAGGGAGGGGCTTAGGAGATGGAGCATAGGTGTGGAAAGGTAAGAGGGGGATTGGCTGTGAGGTTGGCTTCTCTTGTCACACTTTAGGACCCTTCCCCCAAATCTAGACCCAGGCTCCATGTGCCCTCATCCCTGAAAGGGCCCCAGATTCCCTCTCCAAGCCCTAGCACACACATGCTAATTATCTCTTCTGACTCCTTTCTGTTCCAGGACTGAAAGTTCCCAAGATCAGGAGCAAGATAAGGATGCCCACTTTCTTGCTTCAACTCAGTACTGAATGGAGGTTCTACCCAGAGCGATTATGCAAGAAATAGAAATGACAGGCATCCAAATTGTAAACAAATAAAACTATCTCACCTTGCTATATAAAAACCCCAATGAGGGCTAGAGGTGTGGCTCAAAGAGTAGACTACCTGTCTTGCAAACAACTCCAGTACTGAAAAAAAAATAAATAAATAAATAAAAAATAAAAAAAGAAGCAGCTGTGTTTGGTGGTACACACCTGTAATCCCAGTACTCAGGAGGATTAAAAATTTGAGGCCAGTCTAAACTACATGGTGATACCCTATCTTAAAAAACAAAAACAAACCCTAAGGAATCACTCCCAAATCTGTGAGATCTAATAAATGAATTTGGCAAAGCTGCAGGATACAAAACTAGTACATGAAGGTACAATGCAAAAAGGAAATTAAGCAACCAGCTGCATTTACAATAGTACCTGAAAGTACAAATACCAAAAAGATGAAAATTTAACCAAAGAGATGAAAAACTCTTGCAGGGAAAACCACAAAACTGAAGGAAATTAAAGGCCTAAATCAACAGAGAAACAGCCTAAATTCCAGATTATGTATACTCGTTGTACAAGACCAGAAGATTTAATATTAATATAGCAATAATCCCCAAAGAAACCTATAGATCCAATGCAATAACTATCAAAATACTGATGGCCTTTTTTTTTTTTTTTTTGGTAGAAACAGAAGAGCTGATGCTAAAATGTTTCATATTCATTATTGCTGAAATAGGCAACAATCTTGAAAACAAAACCAAATCAAATTGCAGGACTAATACTTTCCTATATCAAAATTTACTTAAAAAGCTACAGAAATCAAAACAGTGTAGTACTGTCATGGGATATGCAGGTCAATGGAAGAGAATTGAGAGTCTAGAAACAAACCATGTATTGGTAGCCAATTAATTTTTGGTAAGGGTGTCAAGACCATCCAATGGGGAAAGAAGAGCCTTTAGCAAATGGTGCTGGGACAACTGGATATCTACAAGCCAGAGAATGATATTAGGTCTTACCTCACACCATATACAAAGATAAACCCAAAATGGACCAGAGACCTAAATGCAAGAACTAAAACTATAAAACTCTTACAAGAAAACATGGCAAATAATGACCTTTGATTTGGCAATGACTTCTTAAATATGGTATCAAAAGAACAAATGGCAAAAGAAAAAGATACATTGGCATTCACTAAAATAAAAATAGTATCAGATGACACTATAAGAGAGTAAAGATAAACTGATGACCAAGAGAAAATATCTGCATATCACGTATGTGGTAAGAGACTTGTATCCATGATAAAGGACTATAATTCAACAGCAAAACAAACAACCCCACTCAGAAATGAGCAAAGGACTTGAATAGCTTCTTCTCTAAAGTGGGTATACAAACAACTAAGAAAGAAGGACATGAAAAATGCCTTCAAATCAAAACCACAATGAGATAGTACTTCATACTCATTAAGATTATTATTATTATTATTGATTATTATTTTTAAAAAAAGCAGATCACTTCTGGGCACTGGTGGCTCATGCCTCTAATCCTAGCTACTCAGAAGGCAGCAATCAGGAGGGAGGATTGAGGTTCAAAGCGAGCCTGGGCAAGTAGTTCATGAACCCTCCACAAAAAATAGGGCTGGTGGACTGGGTCAAGGTATAGGCCCCAAGTTCAAGCCCCAGTACTGAAAAAAAAGCAGATCACCCATGTGGGTAAGCATGTGGAGAAAGTGGAACACTTTGAACTGTTAATAGGATATAAAATGATGGGTATATAAAAACTGTGGGAAACAGTTTGGAGGGTTCTCAAAAAGTTAAACACAGAAGGAGCATATGACCAGCAAGTCCGCTGCTGGGTACGTACCCAAAAGAATTGAAAGCCAGGATTCAAACAGATCAGTAGTTCCCCTTATCTGCAGTTTTGCTTTCTGTAATTTCAGTTATGTGAGGTCAACCATGGTCTCAAAATATTAAACGGAAAATTCCAGAAATAAACAATTATAAGTTTGGGGTTTTTTTTCCGTGCTGGGGTCTGAACTCAGGGCCTTCACCTTAAGTCACTCCACCAGCCCTTTTTTGTGATGAGTATTTTCAAGATAGGGTCTTGAGAACTATTTGCCAGGGCTGGCTTCATACTGCGATCCTCCTGATCTTTGCTTCCTGAGTAGCTAGAATTATAGACATGAGCCACTGATGCCCAGCTTGCAGCAGTAACTTCTTTTTTTGGCGGTACTGGGGTTTGAACTCAGGGCCTTATGCTTACTAGGCAAGTGCTCTATCACTTGAACCACTCCACAGGCCTAACAATTCATAAGTTTATTAACTTATTTCAGTGTGTTACATTTGTTCTATTTTATTATTAGTTATGGGGGATGACTGTACTTGTACACCAAGCCTTCAGATGACTAATTCCACTAGCTGATGCCAGGTGCCCACACAAAAACTATACACCAATGTTTGTTGCAGCACTATTTATAATAGCCCAAAGGTGGAAACAACTCACTTTCCACCAACTGAAAAATGAGAAACAAAATATGGTCCCATACCATGGAATATTACTTGGCCACATGAAGAAATGAAGTACTGATATGTGTGTTTCAGCATGGATGAACCTTGAAAACATCACATGAGAGAAGCTAGCCACAAAAGAGATGGAGTCATACATAGTGACTCAATCTCTATGATATGTCCCAAATAGGCTGATCTGTAGAGAGAGAAAGTAGAGTAGAGGTGGCTTGGGGCTGAGGGACATACGTGAAGTGAAGAGTGACTGCTAATGGGCATAGGTGTCTTTTGAGGTGACACAAATACTCTGATGGACATTTTGGAGGGTACTGGGGATCAAAACCAGGGCATGTAACATGCAGACTATGAGCTGTATCAATGGGCCAGCCCCTGAACACTTGTGGAATTAGACAGTGGTGACGGTCACACAACTCTGAGTATAGGACCTGGCTGCACACCTGACATGAGTGGATTGTATGGTATCCTTACTATTTTGTCAGAGCTCCTCGGACCCAGAGGGCAAGTTATTGCTCAGAGCTGAGAAAGTTCTGTTTCTAGAACTGGCGCTGCTTACACAGGTGTGTTCACTTGATGTGACCTGCCATAGTAGGCATTTATGAATCTCACATACTTTTCTGTATGTTAAGTACTTGAGTTAAAAGTGAACAGACGGGGCCAGGGTATGGCTTCAGTGACAGTGCCTGCCTGCTTACGAAGTGTGAGACCCTGAGCTCAGAACTGGCAGTTCAAAAATAAAGAGAGACTGGAAAGTGTGGTGGTTCACATCTGTAATCCCAGCACTCAGCAGGGTGTGGCAGGAGGATCTCAAGTTTGAGGCCAATCTGGGATACCCTATCTCAAAACAACAAAAGATTGTAAGAAATCTAACTGGGGAAGAAAAGCTTACAGTCTGCTCAGAGTACTCCACCTTCAGAAGGCCAGGCCACTGAGGACCCTTCCTCAGTCACATTGCAAAGGGAAGCTTCAATTCATTACTTTTTTTTTTTTTTTTTAAACTCACGGCCTTGTGTTTGCTAGGCAGGTGCTCTACCACTTGAGTCACTCTGCCAGCCCCTCCAACTTACCACTGACTCTGATCAGTTGGCAAGGCCCTGGAGAACAATGGATGGCCCTTCTCTCCCTCTGGGAGTGTCAGAACTCTAGCTTCATCCAACATAGGGGAAGGCAGAGGTCCTTATAGTTCAAAGCTCAGAAATCTCTGAGGTTTGCTTCCCTAATGGAGGAGCCAGGCCTGGAGACTCTGATGCTTGGAGGCTCTGGGGATGTGGAGAGGTGTAGCGACAGTGAGGTGAGGGGCCAGGCTGCTATTTCTCTGCCTGGCCATGTTTTCTGGCCCTGGGTCAGCCACTGATGCTGGTGAATGGGAACTGAGGACACAGCAGAGGGGAGAAGATGGGTCCCCCATCTGCCTCTGAGCAGGACACAGCTGGGGAGGAATCCCCCCTCCATGGCCAAAGCATGAAGCCTCCTGAGGGACCCATAGGGCCTCAGATCTGGGCACTCTTGGAGCGTGCTGGAGAGACAGCAGTCATGGGCTGGCCATTGCTATCAGGAGCCAGTGTGGGCAGGGAAAAGCCTTTCCAGTAGAGGCAGCTGGGGGTGTGTGATGAGCCTTAGTGAGAGCCTTCCTGACCCTGCCTCAGCCTGAAGCTCATCCTCGCACCAGCATGTTCTCTGCACCTCAGAGCCTGCATTCCCCATTCTACAAGTGAGGAAACTGAGGCACAGAGTGCTGGAGGCAGCTCACCCAAGGCAACAGCCAAGACTCCCAGGCCACGGGTGACCATGCAGTGTGAAAAGAGAGGAAGTTGCAGACACCTGGAATCTCAGGCACTGCACAGGCACCAGGCCCCTTCCCTTCTGATGGGCCAAACCATGGCTGGCTTGTCTAGAGGAATAAGGGGGCTGTGTCTGAAGAAGGGGCATTGGCAGGATACACTCGGGGATCCACATGCCCTGATGCCCTAAGTGCCTCCCTCCAGAGCCCTACCTGGACCAAGCAAGTGTGGCTCTGAGCTGTCTTCTCTCACTGCCCTGGCCACCAAGTGTGGGAAAATGAGCCATAGCTTCTCCTGACCAGTAGTCCTGACATGAGAGAAGCAGTCGGCTCACAGTATGACATGGGCTGGGGCCAGGCACAGGGTC